CTGAGGGCGCACCCGGAAGCGCCGTCCGTCCGCACGGCCGGCAACTGCAGGTTGCCCTCATGCCATGGCAGCTGAACGCGCCGCGGCGTTTGAGCCCCGGAAAGTGCGCCCGCCGCTTTTAGGGCGCACTTTCCAGAGAATCTAAAAGGATCGCCATTTTGGCGGTCCTTTTAGATTCGCCGCAGGAGCGCCGTGGTCCGGAGGCTGAACTCTGGCGGCGCTCCGGACCAGGGCATCTCCGACGCCCTGGTCTGCATCCCCCTTTAATTGAAATTACAGGCATATTTTAACAAAGGGCCTCTACAGATGGGCCCTTTGGGCCGTCCTGAAGGCAGGGATGGGGAGGGGCCACCATATGCTGGCCGCCTCAACCCCTCTCCGAAGATGTCCTTATGCATGGCATGTGGCATCAGGACATCCTTTTGGCACAGCCTTTTGATGTGCTGTGCTGGAAGGGGCACTAAAGAGCCGCACACCAGCTCTTAGGATGCCCTTTTTGCCGGCTCTGAAAGGACCGGTATTTTGCCACTCCTTTCTGAGGCGGCAAAGGGAGGATCGGGGCTGAGGCATCTGGCAGCCTTGGCCTCGATCGTCCACTTCCCAGGGTGGTCCAGGGCCTCCTGTGTGCATCTCCCAAAAGTCTCTGAGTAAGAAGCATCTTTTTACAAAGTCTTTCTATTTCTTTCTAGACCCTGTTTCCTCCTTGTCCTTTGGCTAGCTAGACTTTATTTTTTTGCAGCATTGGCATTAGGAGGGAGATGGAGGTGGGCTGGAGAAACATAAACTTCTGGACACTTGGACAACTTCAACAGGAAAGAAGAAACCCTTAAAGTAAACAAGATATGGCTACCAGTCCTACAAAATAAGAAAATCAGCACTTAGCAAATGCAAATGGAAAACCAACCAGGGTCAGGGGCTTTCCCAGCAAAAAACAAGCAGGCAGTCTCCTTGATTGCATATCTTTACCTGGAAGCCATGCCATTAACAACAGAGCATACCTATTCAACACAGAACAATACACAGTTTACATGGGAATAACAGACAATATCCTTGATTGCATACCCTGAAGCTATGCCATTAACAACAGAGCAATACCTATTCAACACAGAACAGCACACAGTTCACCTGGGAACCACTCTTCCCTACCCAGGGTCTCACAGTATATATAGACCCATGCTCTTCCATTTCAGGTTTCTCTGAAGATGCCAGACACAGATGCTGGCAAAATGTCAGAAAGAAACTCTTCTAGAACATGGCCACACAGCCCGAAAAACCCACAAAAACTATGGATGCCGGCCATGAAAGCCTACGACTTCACATAAACTTCTGGTGTTGATTGCAAAAATATGTCTATAGTAAATAATGCAATAAAGCTTGACCAAGGAAAGAACAGAGCTAGTGTGGTATAGTGGTTTGAACATTAGACTACAGTTCTAGAGACCAGGATTTGAATCCCCACTTGGGTCATGGAAATCCACTGAGTGACCTTGGGCAAGTCTTACTTTCTCAGTCTAAGAGGAAGGCAAATCCCTCTGAACAAATCTTGCCAAGAAAACCCCCTGACCGGGTCACCTTAGGGTCGCCATAATTTGGAAATGATTTGAAGACACACAACAACAAGGGGAACAGGACTTTATTCTAGCCAATCCAACTCTAGCCACGTGTGCCCCTTACAACCAGTAACATAAATAGCAATTCCCTTTGAAATCCTTTACTGAACATATCTGAACAGCAAAATCTGAAGCATGTTTAAAAAAGGATAGCTGTATAAATTTGGCTACCAAAACGGAAATTACTAAAAAAGTGGAGGCAGGTGTGTGTGTGTGGGGGGGAACCCAACCCATCCCTGGATGCATTTTGGAAGAAACCTTGAAATTGTTTCTAGAAGATGTTAAAAGTTTTTGTTTACTCATGCAATGCTTACCTGTCTTAGTTGTTTCATTTCATATGTGGGATCTTTAGTTTTGAATAGAAAGTCTGCTGCAACATATTAATGTTGCTCTTGTGATTGTGTGTGTGTGTGTGTGTGTGTGTGTGTGTGTGTGTGGTGTTGGAACCTATTCCTATTCTTTCTGTTATTTCCTCCTCTGGTATCAAAGTTTCTGTTAAAGAAGTAATGCCTAAGAACACATCTACTTTATTAACTGAGGTATATCTCTATGCCCCCTTTTTAAACTTACAGATGAAGACACTCTTCATGGGTATGATTACTCCCCCACCCCATCCCGATTTACATGGGATCCTGTGAACAACTTTCCATTTTAGAATAATCCTCTGCATGCCTGTGGTAGCTAGCAGTTCCGACAGCTGATACAGCCACCCCTGAAGAACCCCTTGCAACTCTCACCTGTTTGCTTATCCTCCTTCTGGCAAAGACTGGCTTCCTCTCCCTTGAGAGGGACAAACTTCACTCTACCAACCAAACCACTTGCCAGAAGCTGGCTAGGTGAAAAGGTTAATGGATAGGTGCCAGTAGAAAGATATATATGTGCTCCTTACCCTTTCAAGGTTTTTAAAACCAGCTGGGATCAAGTTACTGAAACAACTTGGCCACATTGACAAACATGTAGCTTTGCAGGAGCCTTCCCACAGTATGAGAGGAGCTGTTGATTTGAATAACAGAAAGGGTAAGAGATTGAGCATAAGGCAAATATAACATTCAACCCAAGAGTAGCCCAACTATCTTCTGGTTTCCCACTTTTGTTAAGTACTCTTACCTGCAGAGGGACTCAGGTTTGGGGTTAAATGGGCAACATTATGCGTACTCCTCACAATGGCCAAAATGACAAGGCAGCTAAATGAATTATGTGTGGAGGTAGTTTGAAGGGCAGAGGACTGTCACCTTGGGAACATGTCCATCCAGACATTCAAAGCAAGTTACTCGTAGATCTACTTTCATATCTTATTGCAGATGCCTGTGAGTTAGAGGAAGGATTACAGAATGAAAACAAGAGGCATGACATTGGAGTTGTTTATTACTAGGGGTTCATTCCCATTTACCTTTAACTCGGTTTGTGATTTGCTTTCGCTCTGGGTTGGTGAATTGATTCCAGTCCATGCGTCACTCCCACTATGGAAGCAGTTTTTTTCTTTATTCGCTTCTTTTTTGGCACAATTGTCATTCCCACTAGTTTGTGTCCCTTCAAAATGCCTGTCAATCATCTACATGTCAGCAGTGACTCAACTGACAACACATTCAAGAAAACACAGGAGGGAGTCATGGGCAGAATCCCATCCTTCACTAGTATCCCATCCCTCGCTAGTTTTTGGAGAAATCCACCATTTCCCCCCTCTCCTTTCCCAGGACCCATCCTACATTCCAACCTTCTGTCCAGGAGGAATTCTGAAAAGCCCTCCATTCTGGGCTTGACTAGGAAGCATCTCCTCCAAGTCCTGCAAGGCTGGGAGGGCACCACTTCAACTCCCCATGTCCTCCAAGTCCCCTGGGATGCCTCAGCCATGGGTGCCATATGGAGGACTCTCCCATGGGTGAGGTGCTGCCCTCCCAGCCTTGCAGGACTTGGAAAACATGGGGAGTTGAAGTTGAAGCTGAGGCAAAGGCAGGGACACAGGGAAAAAGCTTGTTTCTCCCTCTGTGTGAATGTCTCTTCTCTCTTGCCCTTCCCCATTAACCAGGGCTGTTAAAGGAACAGCCACTGAGGGAAGGCATGGACACTGGTTGCCCAGAGGATGCAGCCTTTTACGCTGTTCTTCTAACTTTCCTACTTCTTTGGGTAATGTTTTGTTCTTTTTACTTAGGTTGGATACCATTTCTTGGAAAATAATGGACAGTACAATATATTTTTATAAAGAAAATTGTGTAAATAAAATTGTTTATTTCTCTGGGTGATTTCTGGTGATGCAAAGTGATTCCTAAACCATTATCGGGATTTACACACATCTGTGTCAAAACCAAATGCCTGTTCTACCCTCTTTTTCATTTTATCAATGAGCTTCTAATGCGTTATTGTGTTCTGTGTGTGAAAATCATTCACGTATTGCACAGTTTTGCGGGTTGTGGCTGCTTTAATCATTATTGAGATGGAGGTACATATGGTCCCCATGTAATAAACTTCATAGAATCTTGAGAGATTATCGCACACCCGATCCAGACTCCTGGTGTACTTTTCGAAGTACTTTCCGTCTGCCTCTATGGCATGGATAAGCAGCTGTTCCTCATCTCTTTCTTCTTCGAAATATCTCCTAGGTGTCCAAGCTTGGTCACTAAGGGGTAGAAGCCATACTGGGGGAGGGGCAGGTTCTGATTGTAGGCCAAAGAGTGAAATTGGGCAGATGGCCAGGAGGAGATTCTGGTTGTATGAGCCTCAACCTGATCTTGGTGGCCCTGCATGGAATATTCCTCCTCTAAGCCCTTCACCCATGTTCATACTCAGAAGTTAGGTCTAGTTTTACAGCCTAGAATTAGGCCTTGAGTTTTAGCTTATGCTTAGAATTTTTCAATATTATAAAGGCTTTGGAAAGGAGCACTCCAGTGCAACCATGGATTTAAGCTAATACCAAATAACAAGCCCTGTTCATTTCAACGAAGATGATATCCAGATCATAATGGTAATTTATCTGTACCAAGTATCCATCTCAAACCATTTTTTTGCCATAAAGATCTACATATTTTCTCTTATGCCTTCACCAACATTATTCTTTTAATATAAGGTACTGTACAATTATGTGTGAATGTTTCTACAGTGGGATTTGCTTTGTTTTATTTTGTTTTTTTTACTTATTATTTTATGGTTGGAGAAGGAAGTATGTCTGGGTCTTGAAACAATTTTTATACTGTGGTTTGAGATTTAAGCACACACAACCATACATCTATTCTCCCCTTGTTCTCTCAAAATGGACCCCTAGTCTAGTTTTGCAGACTACAGAAGATGCAGAAACAAGACTGCAGAGGTTTCATCCAGACCTATATTTGCCATAATGTAAACATCATCCCTGGGTTGGGTGATCACTTATACATCACCCAAAAAGAAGAGACATATAACATGCTCCCCCTGAAAAAGAGGATAAAGAATGACACTGATCTACAAAAATATGTATGCACATGAGAGAGAGAGAGAGAGAGAGAGAGAGAGAGAATGTGTGTGTGTGTGTGTGTGTGTGTGTGTGTGTGTGTGTGTGTGTGTGTGTGTGTGTGTGTGTGTGTGTGTGTGTGTGTGTGTGTGTGTGTCTGCCTGGAAAGGGGAGAGACATGGGAGGTTGCACACTGCCAGAAATAGTGCAAATTGAGTTCACTTTTAGCGTTAGGGTTAGTGCTAGGGAATCATGGGAATTTTTTTTACTGAGACATTGAGCCTTCTCTGTTAGAGAGCTCTGGTGCCACAATAAAATACAGTTCCCATGATTCCCTAACCCTAACCCTTAAAGTGGACTCAATTTGCACTATTTCTGGCAGTCTGCAACCCCCCACAGACAGACAGAGGCAAAATTAGAAATGATTCTAAAAATAATTTAAACAACTTTACAATAAATCTCTTCTAAAACTAGGCAATTCTGCCCAAGGGACCTGTGTATCTACTGAGTCTCAGTCTGGTTGCTAACTGTGGATTAGGGATGGAAATGGAATTCATCACATTTCCAAGGAGATTTGAATTTGGCATTACCAACCCCTTGAGGAACTTATTAAGGATAAAAAAAATGGCACACCAAACATTTTTTATTCCTGGCAAAACATAAATTGCACAGTTTCTGAGAACTGCACAAGAGTTAGATAAATTGCACTGTTTTGCAGTCAAAACCTATAATCACAGTCTTTTTTTATTATTATGCACTGAAAACTGCATAATTTATGAAGGGGGAAAAACCCTCACTTGTTTACATTGCTACTCTCTATGCCCTGGGAGAAAATGCAAAAAAATGCAAAATTAAAATGCAGACAATACCGCTATACAAACAACATGGTGAAGTGTTCCATGTCATGGCTGCAGCCTTTGCTGGTTTGAAAGTTGTGCAAGCAAAAGTTACACAGCAGGAAAAGAAACTCAGACCAACTAAAACTACAGCTATGTGGTTTTGTTGTGCAACATTGCTAATTTTCTGGATTTTCTGCATAACAAAAATGTTGTGCAAAATCAGCTCAACAAATAGCCACGTTTTTGGTTTTTAGAACTGGTGATTTTGCACAACGTATTTGTTGTGAGACAGTGCTGTTTTTTTTTTTTCAATTATAAAACACAATCTTGCACAAAACACACATGTGGCTGGCTGAAAGCAGTCCTTTGTCAAAAGCTGCACAGTTTTCAGGGTGGGTTGGTCAGTTTTCAGGTAAAGCTGTGTAACTTTTGGAAAACTGTGCAGTTTATACAGCTTTTATAGAAAAGCTGCACATTTTTCAGTCATTGTGTATGTAGGGAGATTTCCCAAGTGCCCCATTGCATCATCATTATTTACATCAGTTGGGACTTGGAGAAATAAAGAATTATCACCCCTACTGTGAATAGGCAGCATC